TAAGAGCCGAGCTGCCCGAGTGCTATGGGCTTCAGGCAGCCCCCATGCCTCCGGACCCTGTGCCGCCGGAGCCCGGGAGGGGAAGCACCTAGCCGGGGGCGCAGGGTCTGGAGGTATGGGGGCTGCCCAAAGCCCGTAGCGCTCAGCTCTTAAACAGAGCCGAAGAGTCAGGGGAGGAGCAGAGCCGCCATTTTCCCGGACATGTTCGGCTTTTTGGCAATTCCCCCCGGACAGGGGTTTGACTGCCGAAAAGCCGGACATGTCCGGGAAAAAGAGGACGTATGGTAACCCTAGTTGACCCAGACTCAGACTTGCTGTTGCAGATCTTTTCTTGCTGTGTAGACATACCCTGAAATCTCACAGAGACTGGCTTCTTTTGTGGAAGTTAAGGAGGAAGGGGTTTGGAGAGAAAACAAAATTATCATTGTAATGGTGAGCTACAGAGCAACTGTCAATACTCCATAATATAACACTATTTTCAGTCAATACCACCAATTGCAAGTGCATCCACAATTTAAATAAAGTAAGTGTTTAATTCACAGATCAGAAAAACACTGTGGTTGGCAGATTATTTGCAGTACAATAAATTACTTTGCAGCTAGATTGTGTTAACATTCATATGGTGGAAGATAGGTGTAGTAGCCTAATTCCAAGCCCTTTGTTACACTTAACAATAAAATTGTAACAAAGGAAAGCACTCAGCAAGCTTACATTTATTTTTTGCCTGTTTGCATGTCTTTTTGCTTTGTTTCAATTTGGCTTCTGGGGGAAAGAGAAAAACGTTGAGCATAAACTAATTCTTCCCATTCTGCAAGGAACAAAATAAATCTCCGACACTGACCTTTTGATGACTGTATCCTCAGGAGAATGTTAGTTATTACTGCTTTTTTCTCCCTGACAGTGGATGTTAGATATTCATGGTCCAAAAGTTCAAGAAACAGACGCAATTCAACTATTAATTCTTCCATGGCTGGAAAAAAAAAGAACAACCACCAAGATTTTACTTTTCTAAACATGTAAACTTGATTTAGACAGGCCAGTGAATTCTCTTATTTAAAGAGATTCCTTGTCAATTTTATTTTAACCTGTACTCTTCCCCTCATTCCTCCCCCATAACCCACGCATACACTAAAGATATGTCTACACTACACAGACTATACAAGCACAGCTGTATCATGTGGTCCACACTGATGGAAGGGGATTTTCCATCAGTGCAAGAGCACCACCTTCACGAGTGACAGTAGCTATACTGACAGAAGCATTCTTCCTTTGACATAGCTGCGTCTACACTGTCGACGCTTCTGCATGTCAACCTAACTTTCAATGTAGACCAGGCCTAAAGCTAGCTGGGAACATATTGCATTAATTAGGCAAACTACAAAAACTAGCCACAGTGTCACCCATCCCACCATTAATCTCTGGTGAACCACCTTGCTCACCCTCCCTCATAAATGTTACAACGGAACCTGGCTGGATTTTTTTAAACATTTTTTTCTTTTTAGTGTCATTTAAAATGGAAACGGTTGTGACAAAAATTTCTAAATGCATTGACATTTTCAAAATTTTTCATTTTTGAATTTTTGGGAAAATCTCCGCCCACCCCTACCCCCTTAAACATTCCATCCCTTGTTTCTGGTGAAAAAACACAAAGGACGGGATTAAAAACAAACTGGAATGTGATTTTTTTCCCTAAAAATTTTTAAAAGAATTTTGTCAAATATGAAAAATGTTATTAAAAATTAATGAAAAAGTCTCAGCACCCACATATTTCATGAAATATTCCTCCCTCCTTTATTTTATCAGCTCTAGTTAGAACATGTACAAATATAAAGTGGATCGAGATACTCAGCCTCCAAACTAAGCAGCTCCACACTCAGAGATGAGGAGGCTCACAGGTCCAAAGGTTCACAGAGAGGTGGTTTTTCCACATAGACCCCATGTATGGGTCTACATAGATAGCAAGGCCAGTCCCCGGGACCACATCACTTGTCCCTCCTGTCTATGCCCAGTGCTAGCCTAGAGTGTTGACTATGATATAGAATTATTCTACTTAATGGCCAGGGGGCAAATTTGTCACGTGCACATGGGAAACATGTAGTGTCAGCTATAGGTTGTCTTAACTCAGGAAGTTCCTTCGAGAGGAAATGTAGCCGAATTCCAAACCTATAGACAATGGAACTCCCTGTGCCTGTATCCTATAGATAACTAACTACTTAGTTTGCAAAATAGCAAGGGTGGGGGGCAAGTAAATGAACAATAAGGGGTCATAAGAGGGGCAGATACATGTAGCTTGCTAATTATGTATGGTAATGATGGCAAATTTTGGCCAATCATAGAGCGATAGATTATCATAAGCAACTGCATATAATGCTTTGGTGTAAGTGTTTTCTTTGTTCTTGCTGATTTATGAGCTTGAACCCAATTGCAACTGAAATAAACGGATCGCCCCTCCCGGGGCTCCTTGCTTGACTATCTGTGTCCGTCTCTCCTTATTCCTCAGCTGGAACGGACAGAAATTTCTATGACAACTATGACATAGTAGGCTAATTCTCCAGGCATCATCATCTTAGCAAAGAACTCTCCTCTGAGGGTGTCTAATAAGCTAGGGACAAGGTGACGCTACAGAGGCTTCTGGAGTTTGCAGGGATGCAGTCATACAAACACTATGTGATAAATGAAGTAGTAACAGTCAGGGCCGGCTCCAGCTTTTCTGCTGCCCCAAGCAGCAAAGCAAAAAAAAAAAAAAGATAAAGCCGATCGGCACCAATTCGGCGGCGGGTCCTTCACTCCCTCTCTTCCTCTTCAGTGGCAGCTCTAAGACCTTTCCATTGGCCGCCCCAAGCACCTGCTTCCTTCGCTGGTGCTTGGAGCCAGCCCTGGTAACAGTAAGAAGCAGCGTTTGGAAGGGCTGCATGTTGTGGCTGAGAAAAGTCTCTCTCTTATTATTAGCAAAACCCCAATGTGCTAGTCCACATACCAAAGAATTGTATATTTCTCAAAAATGAGCAAAGACAAAGACACATGGTCTTAAGGACTATTTGTTTGGCTATCAGATACACAAGGATATAAGACTTTTGAGAAAAGCATTTTTAATGTGCTGGACTCTGTCTGGATTTAAAACAAAATACATACACAAAAAATTACCGGTATTCTTTATTTTACCCCTTGAAAGAATGAAGCAGAAATCAATTTCCTTACCTACTTTGCGCCTTCCTTGCCTTCCCTCCCATCATATCCACACGTTTGTTTTCTAACACAGTATTTCCATAAAGCCAATTCCTACAGAGCAGAGCAATTCCTAATCTGTTCATATGACCACCAATGCGCATATCGTAGCTTGCTGAACAGAGCACATTGGTACTTCACTTGCGAATGTCTGAACACTTTATCTTTAGAAATGGCCACCTTTTTTCAACATAGGCCTTCTCTGAGCTCATTTTTAATTCTGTCGTATTAACAGCTTTGAATTGTTTTATTCATTAAATGACATATTTCCATAGTCTATGACTAAATTATTCAATACCAATAATATAACAAAATTCTTAAGATATGACATTTAATGCAAGAGTTAAGTATTACCATGAAACAACTGTGAGCTGGAAGAGCATTCTGGCTAATGAGCATTTCTACCTGAGAAATGCCCAGCACCCCGCTGTATCTGGTCTCACCACAGGCTCTCCTATACCTTATCTCTACCACTGCTTCAGTCAGGATTTTTTTTTAACTGCAATAATGTTGACCAAGCTCTTGTGTATAATTGTGACCACGTGTTTTACAGTATGCTGTGGTCCCATTCCTGCCCCTACTGAATTCAAGTTATACCGTTGACTTCAATGCAAACAGGATCAGGAGTCTACGGCATAGCTGATACACTGCAGACAGACTGAGGGAGAAAACATGTCGGTTCATCTAAGCCCAGAAGCTAAAATAATAGGAAATCCATCCATAATTCTGGCTTGTGAAGCAAGTATACAGAGAAAGAGCTTTATGCAGCCACAAAGCTTTGCTGTTTATTCTCTCCTCACCACACTCAAATCAGTGCTCAGACAAATAGCACTGTTCTGAAACAGCAGTGAGCTAGAGGCGCAGACTGTATAATGACACAGAAATCAATCATGAACAAATAAGTTAAGATTACATTTTTGCAAATTCCCCTTCAGAAAGACACTATTCATCTGCTTAAAGACACTTATCTGCCCCAGCCAAGTTTTCTATTGCCTGGCATGTTTTTCTACTTTAGCTGAGTTGTACAGCTACTTTTAAGTTAATTGTGCATTCTTTCAAGATGTATATTCCACCGTGGTTTTTAGAAAGTCTCTTAAAAGGGGTAGCAAAAAAAATATCTGCCCAAGCCCCTTCAAAAATCAGCTTATGACAAGAACCTAAAAAGGATGGTTTATTTGGTTCTTGGTAAACTTACTACTTGCTATTAGCTTGCTATTATTTTACATGTCTGTTTCAAGACAACTACATCATTTCCAGTTCCATGCATATTATGTACTCATTTGCACCTTTGAAAAGTGTGTGTAAAATGCTACCAAGTCAGCATGGTAGAAATTACATTTTTTCCCAACTTAAAATTTAAAAGTGTGCAGAGGAAATCTTTAAAACATTCTTTTAATGTTATATATTTCTGTATCATGTGACTTTCCAACTGTAGGCTATCCCAAACAGTGCTCCAGGAAATCACAGCTGGTCTGCAAGTTTTGCAGTAATATGAAGGTGCTCCAAATGTTGGGATCAGAAATAAGAACTCAGAAGAGGGATCAATGATTGTGTGAAACGTTTAATATTTCAGTTAATAATATGACTTTATAAAATTCTGCAAACCCTCACATGACAAATGGTACATTAAAATCCAATCCCTCAGCACCATTATAAGAACTAAGTAGTATTAGCCCCTTTCTAGAGGGAGGATAGCCTTAGTGGCCTGTAACATGAAGTTATCTAGGTTCTATTCCTGGCTCTGCCACAGACTTCCTGTATGACATTGGGCAAGCCACTTAGTGTGTGCATGCCTCCGTTCATTTTTGTAACAGAGGGGGTATTTTGAGTATAAAATCATTAAATTTTTAAGGTGCTCAGATATTAAGGTGAGGAGTGTCATAGAAAAGATTATAACTACATTTTAAAAATGGATAAACAGAGGGGCAGAGAGGATAAGTGACTTGTTCAAGTAACCTGTTTCATGCCATGTGTTACAAGAATTCTAAGCTAAGTTTCTAAAAATAACGCAAACTTTCCTCCATTCCTTTAAACCAGTGGTTCTCAAACTGGGGATCAGGACCCCTCAGGGGGTCGCAAGGTTATTACATGGGGGGTCGCAAGCTGTCAGCCTCCACCCCAAACCCCGTTTTGCCTCCAGCATTTATAATGGTGATAAATAGATTAAAATGTGTTTTTAATTTATAAGGGGGGTCAGACTCAGAGGCTTGCTATGTGAAAGGGGTCACCAGTACTGAGAATCACTGTTTTAAACTTTAAAGTGAATTGTACTGATTTTTAGAGCTGTCAATTAATCGCAGTTAACTCACGCGATAAACTCAAAAAACTTAATCACAATTAATCGCAGTTTTAATCGCATTGTTAAACAATAGAATACCAATTGAAATGTATTAAAGATTTATTTTTGATTACAAATATTTGCACATTAAAAATGATAAAAGAAATAGTATTTTTCAACTCACCTCATATAAGTACAGTAGTGCAATCTCTTTATCAAGAAAGTGCAATTTACAAATGTAGTTTTTTTTGTTACATAACTGCACTCAAAAACAAAACAATGTAAAACTTTAGCACCTACAAATCCACTCAGTCCTACTTCTCGTTCAATTGTTTACATTTATGGGAGATAATGTTTATTTATCTTCTTATTTATGTCACCTGAAAGTGAGAACAGGTGTTTGCATGGCACTTTTGTAGCCAGCATTGCAAGGTATTTATGTGGCAGATATGCTGAACATTCGTATG